ACGTGTAGCCTTGGGGCAGGTCCATTGCTGCTTTCTTGCCCAGCTAGCAAGCACACTACCCTCCTCCCTTATCTAATGCCCACCCGGACCCAGCTCCCAGCTCCCACTGCTTCTGTTGCTCCAGGAAATAACTCCAGGACGCCTTCGCAGAGACACGGGGGAGGCTGAGGGGGAAGGCCACGAGATCCAGCCAGATGGTTTAAAACTGTCAAGAGAAGCAAGAGGCAGTTAGTGGTGGTTATTTTTATATTCTAGTGGGCCTGCTCTGAGGAAGTGGGCTGACCTGAGAACAGCCACTGTGCTCAGATCTATGAAGGAAGAGGCTAGGCCCCAGCATTAAGCAAGGATCTATGGGGCCACTGGCCCTACACCTAGCACACCAGGCAGAGCACTTAAGGGCAGTGTGGGCTTCTCCACAGTTTGCCTTGCACTTGGCACAGAGGCTGTTATAGAGTCCTGACACAGTGCCTTGCTTGAACTGAGGTTGCCATCTCTGGAGGTAAGGGGGCTCATACAAGGGGCTTGGACACAGAAACCCAGGATCTGGTACTCTGTGTTATACTCTGGTTGATTGTCCAATTAGAACAGGACCTTGAAACTTTTTCCATCCTCAGGTATCTGCCACGATGCCTAAAACAGTACAGTACACTGTAGACCATAGCCTAAACCTTTGGTTCATGGGTTGAACCCAGCCCATAGACAAGTACTTTTTGGCACTCGTTGTGGTTAAAATTTGCCACATACAAATGCAGATTTGGAGATTTGTTTGAAAACTGGGAAGATGAAGCCACTATGGGCTAGAACTACGTGGTGGTGGTTTTCTTTAGATGAGGCTTGTGCTCACCAGTCCTCACCCAGCCCACTTCACTCATGCATATTACCTGCCCTACCCCTTCAAAGTTTTTGACCCTTCAAATGTATGGTATCATCTTAGTTCTTCAAGTCAGAAAATGCAGCTCTAAGTCCTGGTTCCTCCATTTACTGGTTAAGGGACCCTGGACAGGTGGTTTAATGTCCCAAACCCTATTTTAAACCAAAACCAAACTCACCACCATAGAGGCGATTCAGAGCCCGAGTTTACTAATATGTAACATGGGGATAACATCTGACGCAGATTGTTTCAAGTACTAAATGAGACCTGTGTATGTGCTTTTTCAGTTGTGGAACTCTACAGAAATGCAACTATCACAATGACTTAAGTGTTGAATGAGTGAGCCAACTATTAAATTAGGCAAGAGCTATTCTTCCTTACAGTTGAATGTAGAGGTCTCCATGTGCTCTGGCCACAAATTTTGGCACTACAATACATGGAAAATTTACTATTTGCCAAATGGTATGCTTTGTATATATTATCTCATTTAATGCTCAATTACTCTGAAAAGTAAATATTATCCCCATTTTATAGTTAAGGAAACTGAGCAGATAGTGGAGCCAGTTTGTACTAGTTTAACCACCACACTACCTTGGGCAAAAAGTATAGCTAAGTTTTATGCTGGCTGCCCTCAGAATACTAATTAAACCCCAGGGGAAAGAGATGTAAATTTCCATTTTTAGGAATCTGAGCTCCTTCTGGGCTGGGTTTGTATGCTCTGGTAGGAGTAAACACTTTATCTACCATCTAGAGGTCATAGCCGGCTCTGAGTGGAACATGTCAACAAACCAAAGATTGTTTGGGGGGGAGGAAGGTGGCGGCATGTCCTGAATATCAAAACGACGACGTCTTCAGTTCATCAGTGTAAACAATTCCTCCTCTTTGGACTGCAGTCCTTTCAGTTAGAAAGGCACAAACAATTTAAGGGGGATGTGGAGTACTTAAGGCATGAAAGTGATGGAAAGTAGGCTAAAACCACGGCCTTAAGCCAAGAAACAGACGCTGAAGGAAAATATTTACGTCTGCTTGAGAAGTGCAATTACATCATGATAAACTGTCCTATTTAGGGGGGAAAAAAACTGTCCTATATGAATCGGGGCCGACTCGATGGCAAATAACAACAACAACAACAACATAGTTCTAGAAAATCTACATGTGGATTTAACTTTTAAAATGCCTCACTTGGTGTGGTGGTTATGTTTGTGTGTCAACTTAGCTGTGCCTGGTTGAATAGGTGGAGAGCTGGTGGTAGTTATTCCCCATGATGAGACTGGCAATCAACTCCATGATGGGATCTACCATAAGCAGCTGAGTAGCTGCTCTGGGTATGCGATCGGCTTCCTGTATATAAGCAGCAGCTTTGGGATTGGTCTCTAGCCTATGGCACACTTGGACTCAGCACATAGCCGTGTCATTGTTCAGCAGCCTGCCATGCTCTGCTGACCTTGGGACTTACAGTGGACTTAAATTAATGACCTGCCGTGTAGTTTGGTAATATCGGGACTGTGCCTTTTTACTTGTCAACCTTGGGCTTGTTAGTCTCAGCAGCCAGCAGCTGTCTGAGTGAAGAAAAGCCTCTAGCTTCAGTGGGCCAGGAGCAGGAGCAGGAGCAGGAGGCAGAGCTTAGCACTTTGAACTTGGATTTAAAGCCTCCAAACTGTAAGAATAAACTCCTGTTTGTTTAAACCACCCCATTTGTGGTATAGTCTTGTCGGAACGGTACTAGGTAACCAGAATAGAACACTTGGGTTTGAACCAGATTAAAAATAAATAAATAACCCTACCAGTGATTCTATTCTGACTCATAGTGACCCTATAGGACAGGGGAGAACTGTCCCATAGGGTTGCCAAGGCTATAATCTCTACGGACACAGACTGTCTAATCTTTCTCCCGTGAAGCGGCTGTGGGGTTTGAAACACTGACCTTTTGGTTAGCACCCAAATGCTGTAACTGTTATGCCACTAGAGCTCCTGAACTAGATACAGGTTTAAAAAAAAAAAAAAAAAAAAGTGTACATTTTGTTATGTGGAAATGAGCCACACTAAGAGAGGTGTTTCCCAGACACCCAGAGATGTAAAATAGCCTCCAGCTCTCAGAGGTGAACTTCAAGTCTTCTAAAGCCCAAAAGCACTTAGAGGCCTCTGCCACCTCTAGAAGGGAGCTGAAAAAGCTTCTACTCACATTCTTGAGGAACTCTTCAGCCACAATGCGAGCTCGGGCATTGACCGATAACTTCATCTCACTGATCTCCTTGTCGATCTCCTCCATGAAGTGGATCACAAAGTCTACCAACTTGTGTTTGTACATCTGCTCTGTGTGGAAGTTGGTAATCAGAAAACTGATGTCATACCCCTAAGGAAGGAAGACAGTAGGGAAGAGGAGAAATAGGACAGAATCAGCATTCTCAGAGCACTCAGCTCTCTACTTTCCCTCATCCACATGTTTCCAGCTGGCTACACATCCTTTCAGTCATCAGCCCCGTCTGGTGGGGTGCCTAAGCTGGATATGAGTGACTGACCTCAGATAGGAATTTTGCATATAGCAGATGTCTCTGGAAGACTATGTATGACATAAAGAGTTGCATTCAGAGTGTAAATGGTCTTGAAATCTTAACAGAATATTCTAAACATTTAGTCTAGAGAAGAGATGACGTAGAGAGGGATGAGACTGAGGTCTGGAACTATCTGGAGGTTGCATGTAGAAGAGCAATTTTATTTATTCAGTGTGTCTCCAAAGGTTAGATCTAGGAGTGGGAGAGAAATTTTTGGCTCATGATGAGGAAGAACTTGGCCAACTTGTCTGATGATACATAGTATTGCTTAGTCACTGGGGATATTTTAAGTTGACATGCAGGTAATCTGTGGAGAAGATTCAAGTACAAAGTCAGGCAACAACTGACCCAATGTCATCTGTGACTGTGAGAGATTATGATTTAGTTGGTGACAGAGCTTAGAAAGAATCCCTACTTTTGCTATTTCTGCAGCTAGATTGTAGGCTCTGGGAAGATGAGCAATGCAGCTTATCTTTTTGTTTGTGTGCCTTTTTCTTGGTTGAAGTGGACCCATTTTCTCCTGAGCTTCTGATTCACTGTATTCCCACTCCAGCTGAGATGAAGGCCAACTCTCAACTAAGTCACCAGGTGCCATACAGCTAGAAAAGCAGCAATCCTGGGTCTACAAACAATCCCAGACCAGTGATAGTGAATTCAGAAACCACAGCTAGTCTGTGATAGAATTCCTGGTTATCACAAATATAAGTCACAGGGCAGCGGGACATAGCAGCAAAACCAGGACAAAGGTCCCAGTCCAACTGGATCTTACCTCCACTGGTTTCCTTCGAAGGATAAAGAAGTTCTCTGCTCGCATCATCATGAAACGCATGAATTTGTGGCATAAAATCTTCTCGATCTCATCAGCCTGGTGAGAGCCAAGAAGAAATAGATTTCCCTAAAGTTGCACTCTAAGCGAACAGAAACCTGTAGCCCAGTTTTTGGACTTCAAATTCCCACAGGCTCAGTGGAGGCAGTGGGATTTGGTATTGAGAACCATCCCTTGTCTGAACTTCAAAATGTGGGGGCCCAAGCCCAATGCCACTGAGTGGATTCTGACTCATAGTGACTTCCACTGGGTTTCTAAGGCAGTAAATCTTTACAGAAGTAGATTGCCTATTTTCCTTCCATGGAGTGGCTGGTGGGTTTTAACCGTCAACCTTCTGATTAGCAGTCAAATGTCTCAGGCACTATTCTACCAGAGTTCCTTAAAATGGGGAGCATTAGTTGCCAGTTGAAAAGATGATCTACGTAAGGGTCTCTCCAACTCAACAGGGTATTATCACGATCTTGTCTTCACTCATTCCAGAGAGGTAATTCTGGCAGACCTAAGTCTGTCATTGGCTCCTTCGAGTCCATACGTATATTCAAAGCTGCCAAGCTGCTTTTATCTTTCTCATTTCACTAAAGTGTGTGACATGTACTACCTGGGGTATGAGAGATAATCTTCAGTGGTCTCCACTTTAGCAACAATGAACAAACAATTCCCAATGTTTCTCCTGAATTCTCTTCCCATAATTCTAAGGGAAGGACTCTGCAGCTTGGTGATGGCATGTCCTTAAGACTTCCCAATTCTTGTTTTTCTCCCCTTTTAACAAAGACAGCAAGAGTTACAGCTTTCTGTAGGCAACAAACAGTGTTTAGTCTGAATTAAATACCATTGTTTTGTTTTAATTGTATTTATTTTTAGAGTTGCCCTCTACTTGTGGCAACTGATACTATTTTTCTATTTATAGTAGCGACAATAAAGTTTCTTTTTCAAAAAAATTTAAATAAAAAGAAATATACAAGAAAAGATACACTATTTTACTGTAAAATTCAATCTGCACATGGCTATCAAATTGGTACTACTACTGCTAATTTTTCTAAACTGGGCTTACTCCTCATTCCTTAGAAATGGTTCTCTGATGACACCAAACTGGCCCCATGGCCTTGGCTACTACATTTCCTACTGTAGTAAGGCCTCAAAGATGAGCTTGTTCTTTCTTTTTTTAGTCTGCTCATTTTCTGAGTTGGGCAAATCATATCTCAGGCATATTGCAGGAAAAAGAACCTAGGTTTCTTGTACTAACCTCCAGGATGAGGGGTGATGGCTTGGCTTGGGAGAGGACTCCCAACTCCACACCTCCTAGGGAGGCAGGGACTCCATGGTGAGCTCACCTGTTTCACAGCAATGCTGACCCTTACAGAGTTGATAGAGCCTTCAATCAGAACCTTTTCCTTCTCATTCCTGCTGATGGTCACAGGTTGCAACAGCAGCTCTTTGCTACTCCTGAAAAAAAAAAAAAAAATGTCATAGAGGCCTCTGTACTACAGAAGTACAGAGTAGTCAGGCAGACCCCAAACAGGTCCTGGCATCACAAATTGAGACCAATGACTCCAAGGAGCAGGAGACTCCCAAGCAGAGGTTTTTCTTAGATGGGGGCCAACAAGTGTGTTGTTCTCCAACAGAAAGACCACAGGCTCTGGAGTCAGGGTGAATAGGTTTTGAAATGCAGCCTCCTCTGTTACTTTCCTTGGGCAAGTGACCCTGTTGGGATCTCAATTTCCTCATCTGTAAAATTACTGATTCCTATTTCACTGATGAGAACTGAGGGAAATCAAAGAGGATCAAGTATCTACCAGCGTGCCTGGTACATGGTAGGAGCTTTACAAACAACAACTCTTATTTTAATACCTATAAGAAAACCACACAGCATTGAGGGAGTGAGATTAAAGAACCTGCCTTTAGAGGTAAGGACAAACTAATATGCCATAGTGCCTCTAATCATCCATTCAGAACAGTTTTCTATTTACCACTGAGACCTCAATGTGGTGTCCCTGAATCCCTAGATATGTGTAATGGTAGTGAACTGTGGTGGTAGTGTCTGTGAGCTTTTCTCAGCACTTCAAAGTTAGGCAGCAGAACACACCACATTCTAACCACACCAGTTATTTATTTATTTTTAGAGTCAAACATATCTAGTTAATCTGATAACACTGGCTGTCTTGGTTTTTTGTCCCAAAATAATTTTAATAGGGAAAAACAATAATTTATTTACATAACAAACTAGGTAAGAGAAAATAGCTCACAAGGGACAAGGTTGTAGTCCCTTCTTGGTCACAGCCAGCAACCCAGAGGGAGCAAGTAGTTGGACCCATGGGGTTAGGACCATGGTCACAGGAAACATCAAGCTCAATTGGCATAACATACTACACAAAAACACTGTTTCACATCCTACTTTGGTGAGTAGCAACTGGGATCTTAAAAGCATGCAATTGGCCATCTAGCTGCAATGATGGGTCTTTCCTCGTCCATAGCAAAGAAGAATGAAGAAAACCAAAGACGCATGGAAACTATTAGTCCAGAGGCCAGGTACACCAAGCAATCCTCAATGTATATGACTATGAGACCAGAAGAACTTGATGGTGCCCGGCTACCACTGTCAACCATTCAGAGGGGGATCTACATAGGAGATCCTGGATAGAGCAGGAGAACAAAGTGGAACAAAACTCAAAATCAAAATTAAAAAAAAAAAAAAGAGGGACCAGGTTTGCTGGTCTGATAGAGCCTGATGGACCCACTGAGACTATGGCCCCTAGTTGTCCTTCAGGTCTGGAATTGAACCCATCCTGTGGCTTCCAGCCAAATAAAAGACAGGCACATGAGTTGAACCTTTGCATTAGGCAGACACACTCCATGGAAATCTATCATGGGAGAGTAGAAAGGCTGAGTATGCATAAGGAGATGGCTTGGGGGCAGGAGTGCACGGGAGGGCAGGACACAGGCAAGAGCTAACTATGGGGAGAAGTGGGAGGGGAATGGTTGCATTGTGAGAAATTGCAGTCAGTGTCATGAGACAAAAGTATAAGCTGCTGTATGGAAAGTGAATTTGCTCTGTGAACTTTCACCCAAATCACAAAAATATTAAAAAAAAAAAAAAAAAAGGGACAGAAAATAATTCAAAACATAAAGTATTTGGAGTAGAAGGCAAGAAATAAGAAATAAAGGGTCTAGCTGGTGGGAGGGAAAAAACACTGTGGTCCTTAAGTTTGAGAAGTATAGTGTTTTGTTGTTGTGTTGTTATGTGCTGTCAAGTCGAACCTGACTCACTAGTGACCCCTCCTTGGGTTTCCAAGGCAGTATCACTATGAAAGTAGATTGCCCAACATTCCTTCTGAGGAGTGGCTGGTGGGTTTGAACTGCCAGCCTTCTGGTTAGCAGTCAAGTACCTTAGGCACTATGCTACCAAAGCTCCTAGTATAGTGTTAGCATCTCATCTATCTAATTTCTCCACTCTTTCTTTAAATTGCCAGTGGGTTCAATAATGTCACAGGCAGTCACTGTATAAGAACCCCAGACTACAAAGTTATACCTTGTGTCAATTAATCTTGGTTCCAGGGTAGCTTCTCCCTTGAGTTTTGTCCTGCCAAATGAGTGACCCTATTTTCTGAACTCCAAATCGAGAATATTATTCATGTGAAGTACAGTCTGTCCTGACAACTCAGAACAAAAGTTCACCCTCTAAACAGCAGCCATCACTGTGTGCTACACTGCTCACCCCCACCCTGACCTTCTCCTTCCTTACCTGACCTCCACCTCTGGTTTGTTGTGTCGTTCCACGACCTGGGAAGAGAAGTTCTCCAGGCAGAGGGCAGCCTGCAGCGTGGCCCGCACGGCACTCAGGTAGGGGCGGAGAGTGGCAGTCTGTAGGAAAAAAATCCAAGTAACAGAGAGGATCCTAATCTGTAAACCCTCACCCAAAGCTACTAGTGGCCTCCTACTCCAGTTCACACCGAGCCAGGCAGTACCAAGGGTGCTTGCACATGGGATGTCTGGCTCTCAGACACCACAGTGAACATAACAGACCAGGCCCTGAAGGTTCTCAGTCAGAAATGGGGTGGGGTCAAAGTGGAGGGTCAGGGGTATTGGTTCTCCCAAGGGACATTTGGCATTGTTGAGCTATTTTTGATTGTCACAATTAGGGGAAAGGATGATACTAGAATCAAGTGGGAAAAACCAGGCACAGGGCAGCCACCCACAACAAAGAATTATCCAGCCTTAAATATCAATAGCGCCAAGTTGAGAAACTCTGGTCTAAAGGCGTACAGGTTAGTGTCCTCAACTGTCCATCAAGCCAACAAATGTACAGATCTATTACTGTGTGCCAGGCACTGAGCTGCTATTATTGTTTGCCACTGAGTCAGTTCCAACTCGTAGCAACCCTAAAGGACACAGGGTTTCCTAGGCTGTAATCTTTATAGAGCAGAGTAGCTCATGGGTTCAAATTTCCAGCCTTTCGGTCAGTAGCTAAATGCTGAACCACTGCATTGCCAAGGCTCCTTAGGCACTGAGCTAGCCAGGTGCTGGGAATTCAAAGATGATCAAGGTCATCTCTACACTCAAATAGCTCAACCTGATGGGGGAAACAGAGAAGTAAATGACTATAGTACAAAGGAATGTCAAAGAATTAGATTTCTAAGGAATCTACACTTGTAGAAGTAACAGTTTGATTTGAAGATGGAGATAAGATTAGGAGGATTTTATGAGAAAAAAATAGAACAAGGAAATTCCCAGCAGAGGAAGCAGCTTCTAGCTACACTGGCCTATCTTCAGTTCCTCCTAAGCCAAGTTTTTTCTCACCTCAGGGCTTCACACATGCTGATCCATCTACTGGCAGGCATTTTTCTTCTCTTTGTCAAAGTATCCTTCACCTCAGCTTTATCAGGGAAGGCCTCTCACTTCCTCAGAGACTTCCCAATCTAAAGCAGGAATCCCTATATTCAATCTCAGTCTCAGGTTTTCCCTCCCTCATATTTATTACAATTTGCAACAACACATCCCTCATGTCTTTTGCAGTTTCTCCTTCCCAAACTGTAAGCCTCATGAGGGAAGAGACCATGTCTTATCTATTCACAGCTATGTACTGTGTACCTAGCTCAGTACCTAACACATACAAAGAGCCTTACTCATTCTCTGTAGAACACATGAATGACAGAAATAACTTCAGCAGAGTTAGAATAACACAAGGCATTAAGAGTTGCTGAAGTAATAATGAGTACAACGTTGCTGTATACAGGAAGCATTATGGATTCAGTAAGGGAGGCTGCAAGATCGTGGAGATTCTCAAATGTTAAGCTACTGAGTTTAGCTTTTAATGGCAGTAAGGAACAGCTGGGGCTTTCTGAGGAGGAAGTTACATGACTGCAGTTGCATGGTGGTTCTACAAAGAATGAATTAGAGAGGGAAGTGAGACATAAGGCAGAAAGGGTTATTCAAAAAATGCTGATGAGAGTCTAGACTGGGGCAGTGGAGAGGGAAAAAGAGGGTATCATAGGGGTGAGACTAATAGATTTTGAGCATAATGGAATCAAAGAATATCTACCAACACAGTGGTCCATCCATATGATGGACTACTACTCAGCAATAAAAAGGAACAACTACTGATACCTACAACATGAATCACTTTCAAAAAAGCTACAAAATAAATAATTTCATTTACATGGCATTCCAGAAAAGGTAAACGACACGGATCAAAGAGGAAAAAAAAAAATCAGTAGCTGGCTAAGACTGATTATGAAGGCGCTTGAGGGAACTTTCCAGGGTGATGGAAATGTTCTAAATATTCATTGTGGTAGTGGTTACATGACTGTGCTTGTCTAAATTCACAGATGATAAACCTAAAACACAAACCCATCTGTCAATCTACTGTACTGTGGCACTGGTGTTTCAAATATCAGCAGGGTCACCCTGCTAAAGAGTGAAACTTGTGGACAGGATTCAGCAGAGCGTCCAAACTAGGGCAGACTAGGAAAAAAGACCTGGCAATTCGCTTCCAGAAATGAACCAATGAAAACTTTATGGATCACAACAGAACACTGTCTGACACATCATCAGGATGACCGATAGTTAAGGAGAAATTATGTTTTGTGAAACAGAGGGCCAGAGAGATCCTCAGTCAGACGGACTGACACAAGATTCACAATGATGAACTTGAACCAGGGCTTTCGAACCAATTCAGACAGGTTTGTTTAGTCATAGCTGATGAAGTGAAACTGGAAGAGACCCTAATTTTTAAAATATGGGCAATCCAGAATGCTAACCAGAATGGGAAAAATTAAGAGTTGAAGCCCTTTCAGGAGCCTGATGTGTGACACTGGATTACTGTCAGGACTGTGGAGAGCACAACACATTCAAGGTGATGTGGGTCAGCCACCAAGCACCTGTTTTCAAGTCAACCAGTCAAAATGTGGTTGCTAGGCAGTGCACATGCTGGCTTGTTTTCTAAGAGGGAGAGTACATTTCTAGCAGGGCTTCGCCTCATAATTTTTCCCATTTCAGGTTCACATTTAAAAAATTTGAATCTGTTCCCATGTTGTTTCGTCTACTATGATTGAAAAAGGCTGAAATGATTTGAAGACTTGACTTGAACGTGCAGGTGAGTATGAGAATGACACAGGATCAGGCAACAATTTGTTCTGTTGTACATAAGGTTACTGTTGAGTTGTAGTTGACTCAACAGCAGCAATTTATCTACCTAAACCTAAAGAGTGCATTTTAGGTGCCTGGCCCCATGACACCTTCCTTTTCATGAATAAAATAGGCATAATTTTTTCTAATACCTCAATAAGCCCGCTTTGAAAAAAAACCAATTAACTAAAAGACAGGAATAAAAAATAAAAGAACCTCCCAGGTTCTAGCTCAGATAAAAGTACAAAGTTAGGAGGAAGAGCAAGAAAATTTAGGAGGGAAGATGAGTTCTGATCTGGAGATCTGATTTCAAGGTGTTTGAAGATTTCCAGGTAAACCTTGAAAAAGAGCCCAGAGAAAGGGAAGCAGATTCAGGAGTCACCAAATACACAAGGTCATGATGGCCATGAGACTAGATAGGTGCCACCAAGGAGTGTATAGACAGGAAGGTGGTAATCAAAGTCACAACTCCCAGGAACGCCCACGTTTATCAACCGGGTGGATTTCCTGGGAGGGAAGGCTCAGCAGTATCAGATATGATGGTCAGGCTGACACTATTTAGTTCTGACCATGGCTAGATCTGAATGGAGGCAACCAAAAGAGTGACTATAAGTAGCACTGGGGGGGTACCAAAAGTGGATACGGAAGTGAGGACGCCACCCTTGGGAAATGGTAGAGTCAAGAGGCTAGAAATGGTAAGAAGATGTACTCGTTGAAGTTCTACTCTGGGTGGAAAGCTAGTCATTTTATATGGCTCAAAAGGCCCTACTATGGGCTGTGAGGCCTACTACGTGCCTTCGAGACGCTCCACAAGTCTAGAAAGCCCACTTTCGGTTTCCTCCTTGCTTCGAGTATTTCCTACCTGCTTCAACAGCCAGACCAGGAAGACACAAGGCCTGCTTCTTACCAAGGTGTCCCCCCCCCCCCCCCCCCCCCCCCCCGGCCCCCGCCCCGCCCTCTTTTCCCAAGCCTCATCGTGTCCCTACACCCTCCGGTATCCCTCGGCCCCGAGCCTTCTCTGCTGCAGAACCGAACTCCCCTAAACCCAGTCCCCTGAAGTAGAACGGCGGGGGTCCCTGGCCCGGGTCCCGGCTCTCTCACCATCGCGGGCGCTGGCTGGGCCGGAAAGCGGAAGTGCGGAAGTGGCCGGCCCCGCGACGCCTGCCCTTTCTCGAGAAGCGCAGCCGCAGTCTCCGCCTGAACTTCCAGACGATACTATCTCTGTTCCCGAGAGGGAGGACATGGAGCCTAGGAACACTTAGACCCTCGGGAAGTTTTCCCGCTGAAACGATCTTGCTATTTGTGGACTACAGAAGTTGCAAATCCATACTCATTTTTCTTCATGTGTTAATGAAGTTCTCGCTTATGCCTTTAGCCTTGTCGCTTTAGACAACGCCTCTCCCCATAGTCATGCAATGGTACAGCCCAATCTCAGGTTGGGCACCATATTAGGACAGGGTGAAGCGGTGAAGTCTTTCGTTCCTTCCGGTTTTGTGGCCTCATCCTTTTTTCGGCCCCTCCTACCTGCAGTCCCCGGGACTAACTGTCGCCCGTCGCCGAGGTCCCGGGCGCCGAGCCCCACCCCTTAGCCCCAGGGTCTCTAGGAGTACAGTCCCGCCCAGCGGGAAGCTCGTTGGAGGCCTGCACCGCCTCCGGGGAGCCACAGTGGGATCGCCCGCGCCGTTTCCCCGCCTCCGGGCCAACTGCAAGGGGGCCCGCCCATCGCCAGTTCTGGGGCGGTTGCTCCCACCGACCAGAATTCCCCGCCCCCTCCCGCGGCCCTTAGGGCCTTAGGAGGCTTCAGTGAGGAGGTAGAGAGGGCGGGGGCCGCATAATAGGGTCCCTAGAGGACTGGGGTCCGGAAGGCGGGCATTGGAGCAACCCACGGGTGGCGCCGGTCATCATAACTGTCCCACTTCTGTGCCAGGCACTGAGCTAAACTCTTGACGGCACCATCTCTTAATCCTCAGAGCATCCCAGGGAGGTAGGTACTGTTGTTATCCCCATTTTACCGACGGGGAAACTGATTTCAGAGAGGCAAATGGGTTAGCCTTCGTCTTTTGTTCCCATTTTACAGACGGAAAAACTGAGATTCAGAGAAAAGTTTCTTAATAATGTTCAAGGTCATAAGCAGAGAATGGTAAAGGTGTAGCTTGAACTCTGTATACCCAGCTTACGTTTGTAACACTGTCAGAACATAGGGAAAAAAATGGATAGGGAGGGAGTGGGACATAGCATGGATAGAACAGAGAACTTTGTAAGAATGAGAACCTTGGAACCTAGGAGCAATGAAACAAAAAGGAAGAGCATAAAGAAGACAAGAGATATTGTGGTCGTTAGGGGTTAGGGATATAGACATGAGACTACCTGGGTTCAGATTACATTTCTGTAAGCGTAGGCATGTGTCCATCTTTACAGTCCTAGCTTTTCTATACACTCATAGAGTTGGGTGAGGAATTCCACAAGATAAGTCTGTAAAGTACCCTACACCTAGTTTGTTGCACGGTAGATGCTCCGTGAGTAAGAGTTGTGCCATTAATATTGTCAGAAGTTACTGAAGCCTGATTTCCTTGGTGAAGCTGTCTCTGGTAGAAGGGCCTTGGGCTTTTGCCATGACATTTTATTCCCCATCAGCCTTTTCTTTCCAGCTCCACAGGATTCTTTATCCTGGGCCATGAGTGAGCTGAAGGACTGCCCCTTGCAGTTCCACGACTTCAAGTCTGTGGACCACCTGAAGGTCTGTCCCCGCTACACCGCAGTGCTGGCCCGCTCTGAGGATGATGGCATTGGCATCGAGGAGCTGGACACCCTGCAGCTGGAGCTTGAGACGCTGCTTTCCTCTGCCAGTCGGCGCCTACGGGTGCTGGAGGCAGAAACCCAGGTGATACTCCACCTCCTGGACCTGGTCAGGGAAAGGTGGCATTGCCAGAGATGGATTGTGACAAGATATGCAATGGGTCATTGAGTTAGCTCCATCTGCTGAGGCCTGGTATATAGGGTTTATTGGGGGGAGGGAACAACCAAATTAGACTCAGGAGACTGGCACAGGACCCAGCATATTGGGGGTGAGGGGTGAGAGGATAGGGGGTGGGACTAGAGTAAATCCTTAGTGAATTACAGGTGGTGCAATTTATGAGGGTCATGCACACTTAACAAACATTTTATGCAAGAATGTTCGTGATGTTTATAAATTGCAAGATTTGTAATTCCATAACCAAAAAAACCATTGCTGTCAAATTGATTCCAACTCCTAGTGAGGCTATAGAACAGGGTAGAACTTCCCCATGGGGTTTCTAAGGCTATAAATCTTTGTGGAAGCAAACTGGCACATCCTTCTCACATGGAGCAGCTGGTGAGTCCTTTCGGTTAGCAGCTGAACACTTAACCACTGTACCACCAGCTCCTTGATTTATAATTCGCTAAGCATTATTGGGGAGCTCTGGTAGCGTAGTGCCTAAGACACTTGACTGCTAAACAGAAGGCTGGTTAGTTCAAACCCACCAGCCACTCCTCGGAAGGAAGGTTGGGCAGTCTACTTCCGTAGTGATACTGCCTTGGCAACCCAAGGAGGGGTCACTATGAGTCTGACTGGAGGACTCCAACAACAACAACAAGCATTATTTACCCCACTCCCTCTGTGTTGGGTCCTATGCTGATTGTTAGAGAGAGGTAATTAAGATAATTCTGCAGCTAAGGCAACTTACCAATTATAGGAAGGGGGAGATCAGACAAAGTCACTGCCTTCTAATTCTGACTCACAGCTACTACTCCTTGGGTTTCTGAACCGGTATCTCTATGAAAGTAGTTGCCCGATCTGCCTTCCGAAGAATAGCTGGTGGGTTTTAACTGCCAGCCTTCTGGTTAGCAGTCAAATGCCTTAGGCTCTATGCCACCAGAACTCCTAGGAGTACCAGATAATGTGTTACATGGTTAGGAGAACTGGAGTGGGGAGACCTGAATTTGAATCCTGGACTAAGCTTGTTGCTGTTTCCTAGCTATGTAATCTTGAGAAAGTTACCTCACATTTCTGAGCATCTATTTCCTCATCTGCAAAATGAGCTGAATAATATAGGACCTACCTCAGAACTTTAGTGAGGATTAAAAGAATTTTTGCAAAGACTCAGCTATGTGTGACACTTAGTAAGCATTTTAAGTTATTTATTGATACAACTCTGATTGTTTTTATTCACCACCTAACATCTCCCAAGCCTGTGTGCCGGGCACTGTGCCAGATCCTGGGCAATAGAGTTAGTTACGATGAGCTTTCCACTCTCCAGTAGCTTATGTTGTAATTGAAGAGACAGGGTGCACCGTATTCTAGTACGACTAAACATGATTGGCTCTACAGTGGAGGTCTGAAGCACCAGAGACTCACAAAGAAAAAGGATGTATAGATTTAAGTTGTGGCCCCTGGGAGTCTGTTGAAGATTTTTAGCAGGCCTGTGGCATAATCAGAGTTATATTTGAGCATCTAAGAAGCTGGATGACTGCTGTGAAGAAGGTTTCCTAGTTGTGATGATGTTTTAAGTGAAGGTTTGTTAAGATACTTCCTTGCCTTCACCAAAAAGTTGCCACTAGCATATTTCCCCAGGCTAACATCCTGGGATGTGGTCATTTATTTAATCCTCTACTAAATACTACACCTGGTTTAGGTGACACAGAAGGGAGTCAGAATAGAGCCGAACAAATGAATGGAATACTAAGTATATTAATAAAGAGAGGATGGGGGAAAGACTTTGAAGCTTTCCTTGTTTCTAGGTTCTGATTTATTCATTGGGGAAAAGGTCCTCCTGTGTTTTCTCTCCTCTTCCTCAGTGACAAGTCTCTCTGAATTTCAGATCCTCACAGATTGGCAGGATAAAAAAGGTGACCGACGATTCCTAAAGCTAGGTCGAGACCATGAACTTGGAGCTCCCCCTAAACATGGAAAGCCCAAGAAGCAGAAACTGGAAGGGAAGGCGGGACACGGACCAGGCCCGGGCCCTGGGCGACCCAAATCCAAAAATCTTCAGCCCAAGATCCAGGAATATGAATTCACTGATGACCCCATTGATGTGCCGCGGATCCCCAAGAATGATGCCCCCAACAGGTTCTGGGCCAGAGAATGTAGAGGGGAACCTCAGGATTCTGGGAATGAAGGGTCCCCATAGCTGAAGCTGATGGAGCAGGAGGTGCCCACTCAGGATCTCTTTCTCTCTGCAGGTTCTGGGCTTCAGTGGAGCCCTACTGTGCTGATATCACCAGTGAGGAGGTGCGCACGCTAGAGGAGCTACTGAAACCCCCAGAAGATGAGGCTGAACATTACAAGGTAGAAACCTTGGGCCTCGATAGACATTGAGAACAGGGGTGCTCAGAAGGTGCTTCAGAATCTGATCCCCAAGCCTTGTATCATTTTCTCCAACCCTTCCCAACCTCCTCTGTCCCTAAACTTACCTAGACCCCATGCTCAAACTCAGCTTTCTTTCTTGTGCATACCTCCCCTTAACCCTACCCAAAGGGTCTCCATCTCTTATGGTGTCTACTTCAGTGAAGTCCTCCCTTCTGCTTTTGGTTTACACATTCCTGAGCTTTTACCTCTACACCTCTTAACACTCTTCAAGTTTACTTTTGTATGATGAGAAGACAACATGCTCCATTGAAGAAAACAGAGAATACAAAGAAGTTGGGCGTGGGGGAGGCGGAGCCTCTCATAGATCAACTGTCATGATGGGGTGTGCTCATGATCTGACCCTCCTTCCAAGTCTCTGCTAGCTTCCATTGCCCAAAGGATCGAGTCCAATTGTCTTGTCCTTGGCAGCCCAGCCTCAGCCCTGCTTTCTATTCCTTAGCTTCCATTCCCTTCTTTGCTGCTGCATTCACCAACTTACTGAGCATCTTGCCCTGGCTCCATGCTCACATGGGCCTTACAGGCCTCTGGGCTTCTATAGGTGCTCTTTACTTGGCAAAATGATTCACTCTTAACGCCCCCATCTTAGCAGAACACCTTTTCAGAGTCCCCAGTAAAAAGTTGATCTCTTCTTTGTGCCATCACAACACCTTAATCTACCCTTCAACTCATTTATCAGAATGGTGTTCTAAAAAAATTACTCGAAAGAGTGATTCGTATAGACAGC